TTATTTTGAAGTAGTTCTTGCATAGCAGCCTTGTAAGGACGAAAGATATGCTGGAAGTCTATGTTTGCAGGCGGCTCAGGACCGTGTTTAGTGGCATTACTTAGTTGAGTCCTTTGTTAGGCAATAGACTTGTGAAGGAATGCATTAATGATGATGATTGTCAAAAGTAATGCCACTTTTAAGTAAGTTTATATGTACGTGGTAGAGCCATGCTGCAGCTATATTAATTGTATATTTGTAGCACGAATGGGTCGGCTCGTCCGGGAAAGGACCACGCTCTTGCAGAATACCAGCGTAAATAGCAGCTTAATGCTGCTGTGTTTCGTATGGTAAGTTTAGAGAACCGAAGACCCTTTTTACTGGAAAAGAGGCATTCCACCTTAGTCTTCACGGCTGACAACGCATCTGCATTTTGATTCGCAAACTAGGATAGATGTACATAGGTGTCTATGGGCCACTGCAACCACTTACCATCAGGTGGACTGTTTGCTCGCTTGTCACCTCCCATAAAAAAGTGTAAGTGGATAAGATAAGCTGCGAATAAATTTCTACACAAATATAATTAAGGTTTATGATATTGATCAACTAAAGGAAAAAAAAGAACGCAATAGATGGATGCAGGGGCTCAGGACAGTACCTACTTTGGGGTAATCAGTGGTGAAGGGCTACGTTTAAAAGTAGATTTTCATAGGCTGTAAATATAGGGACGATAATGAACTTACGAGACGCAACATTAATGTCCATTAATTAAATAAACATTATTCACTAAATAAAAGATAAAAAACAATTTTGACTTAATATATTATCTATAAAATTATTCAGTATGTATAAAGTAATCTTTCAATAATTTGATCTTGGTCTAAGCCTAATTTTGAACGCTAGTTTGAAAAAAGGCTGACTAGGTTAATTTCTTATTTAATTACCAAAAGGTATATAAACACTAGGTTTAGTAGTTATTTTGTGCCTCTCTATTAGTTTAGATGTCTGTATACGGCACATCACCGCCATAGATCAATGCGGTAATATGCCGCACTATAATCTATCGTATGAATGTACGAGGGAATCATAAGATGGCGCTGAATGTATATTTGTAATAAAGGATTTTGGTAAAATACATTAAATAAAAAAAATACATTTACTTATTTATATAATCGTTGGTCTGTTTAGTAATAATTGTGTGAATTTTGAACAACTTGACTGATTTGGGTCATATTCACACAATAAATTCGTTTTGTCGAGACGATAGGACATAGTTATACTAGGATCCGATAGAAGGCGCTTTAATCAAGTTTTATAGACACAATAATGTTGGACCCGATAGGTGTCGCTGTGCTCAAATAATCAATAATTTATATACTTACACTGTAAAAAAATCTAAGCTCTGAGAAAAATGTTTGTGACAGAAATAAAGACAAACTGGCAGACAACGAGATGATGTGAAAGCTAAGTTCACGCGAGTATAGTCGCGGGAAAAATCAGGTGTAATACAAAACTTTAACGAAGAATATGTCTTTTCTAATCAGGTATTTATTTTGTGTCAGAGAAAACAAAGAGAACCACTCTATACTGTGTCAGTACACATGGTATCCTGTATGGTTTGAACGATATGAGAGTCAGAATGATTATTGAAATACTCTCTGTAACCTGGTCTTATCTTAATCAATGTCAATTTTAAATGACATTTTATGGTGGTAAGGATGGCAAAAAAGCGAAGAAACCCCCTTATGGTAATGTAATGTTGTGGGTATGTTTAAAAATCGAAATGCATATGCATTGTCAACTGTTGCTTGCTGCAGCCATTATATAGCTGCAGCGTATTTTTACCATTAAATATCAATAGCTTACATGATAGAGGCAAATGGATACCAATTGGCGAAAAAACACACACACACACACACACACACACACACACACAGTTTTGTGGTAATTAGAAAAAAAAATCTCTTTATTTTAACATGTTTCTATGTATTGTATAGCGAAATGAAATGATTTTTGCACTCCTCAGGGTTACCCTTAATCAGCGTGCATGTTTGCGTAGGTATATAGAAATGAAAGAAGTGAATAAGATGTGTCAGGGTTGTGCCAAATGAAGATTGTTTTCTCTGCATACCCTGGAATCAGGTGAGAGTTTATGTTAATGTGTATAAACAGGGTTATTTTGCAATAACCGGCCAAATTTGCAAAGAAGGTTCAGAATAAGTAATATAGGCAAATGGTGTAGAGAAATTAATTAATTAATATTAAACATTTTGTTCTTTTATGCAAAAACGTTTTTGCCCATAAATCACATTCAATTCGGGATAATTTCAAATAAAAGTATAAGCCTTATTTACTCGTATTTTCAAAAACTGCAATAAGTAACGGATATCATTATTTATATATTTGAACTTAAGTTTAAAATATGGCTACTCTTTAAAAATATCCCTATATAAATATATAAGCGGCTGTACAAGCAAATGTTATAAGCCACTTTGCTTAATGCGTAATTATTTTTGTTAAAATGATTATTTTTATAAAATGTGCAGCTAAATGCGACGAATGGCCATGATATACTTCTTGTGCGTATACGCGCATATTCCGAAATTAAATGCTCTCCCGAAAACTACTGAACTAGGTTCAGAGTTAAATCATTCAAGGTTCGCAGTTAAATCGATGTCATCCGATAAGGTCCATTGTAATAATGGTCATAATGGTTTTCGTTTGTATATAAAAGTGGAATGAAATTTTACTTTAGTCACAGTAAAGGTTCACTTTCAAGCTTTCAAGTGTAAAAAAAAATACAGAAAAAGATGAAATTGGTATGTACGATCAAACAATTATTTATTGATACAATACCATTTAATTTAAAATTCCTTTTATATTTTGCTCCAAATAATGAAATAATAGTAATAATTACATATTAAATGCCAACATATAATTATATACAGCTTTAAAATATTAACTTGGTACACAGACACTCAAAGGATACCGTCCGTCTGTCCGTCGTTCCTATTCTTATTTTTCTTCTTTTTTTTCTTTTTTTTTAACGTTGATTTTCTTCTAGGCCAGTATGTTTATAAGTTGTTAACAATATGGTAGGTAGTGGTTTTCTGCCGATGAGTACCTCTGGATTGGTTCACCCTCACTTTCAATTCCACTTTACGGGTAGGCAAACGAAACCAATACTCACTTGATTCCATTAGTGACAGTCTTAAAATTGTATTTTCGAACTATGAAAATGATAATAAAGTGGTAGAGCCACGCGGCAGCTTTTGCTGTCGCACGGATGGGCCGGCTCGAACCGGGGTGGTACCACGACCTCACAGAATACCAGCGTGAAGTAGAGGCTTACCTCTGCGTTTCGCTTGGCGAGTGTAGGTGGCCGGAGGCCCTTTTTACTGGAAATGAGGCATTCCATCTTAGTCCTCACGCGTGACAACGCATCTACATTTTGATTTGTAATAGAGGATAGATGTAGATGTCTATGGGCCGCAGCAACCACTTACCATCAGGTGGACTGTGTGCTCGTTTGTCACCCTTATCCTATAAAAAAAAAATATCGAAATAAAAATATAATAATTAAGCTAAACTAGAACGCCAATGACGCCGGTTTTCAGAGACAATCTCGAGTTTGTACTAAAATACCACGGTGTTAAAATTGAAGGAGTCTACGACTTACCCCTTCGACTTCAAACGACGAAAGCCTTATGCCGGAACCACCGGAATCGTATCGAAAAGTAAACCTTATAAGAGCCTATATATGAAGAACTGTACCAAAATTTGGAATCGATTTTCAATCCCTGGAAGATAGTGTTCAACAATATTCGAATATTAAAGAAACGCGTTTAATTTAACTTTTTAATACCCGACATGTCGGGTGCTTTATAGCACCCATGGTCACGGGGAGGGAGGGGGGGCTTAGGGTTTTGACGTCCCGATGTCATAGTTAGCCCGGCTACCTTCAGTTTTTGTACATTAATTTTTGGTCCGATCTACGCAGAATGAGCTCACAGTATTTTGAAGTCTAGGCAGCGAAACGTCTTGATTTAAAAAGTTAAATTAAACGCGATATAATCCGTAAAAATTTGTGTCATTTAATGTGTAGTCTTCGCGTAAATATAAGAAATCATTAATACTCGAATACACATCCAAAAACTAAAATTTATCCATCCATGCATCCATCTATTGCAGCCTATAAAACTCTACTGCTGAACATAGGCCTCTCTCCTAGATTACCTCATGGTCAGGATTGATATCTATACTAATCTAAAGCGGAAGAGTTTGTTTGTTTTTTTGATTGTTTAAACGCGCTAATCTCTGGAACTACTAGTCCGTTTTGAAAAATTATTTTTGTATATTATAGCCAGATTCATGTGGAATAGTATAGGCTATCTAGTGTTGAGCTATATCACTCAGCTAGCCCTAAATATGGATATTTGTTAAGCAAGTCAGAAGAAAAAGCGCTCCCGAAATGATTTATCCGCGTACGCTGGTGTAATGGTTTGGGATACGTAAATACAATGTTCTAGAAAAATATAGATCTTTACTCCATCTAAAAAAAAGTCCGCGATACCATATGCCTGTTTCTTATACATAAGCCATAATAAGGTATTTTGTGACCAAAAAAATATTGTAAATTATAAAGTGATTTATAAACGTTCTTATTAGGCATGGCCTATTTATTCTTACGAACGAAAGTTACTTCATCATCAAGACAGTTTTATGAAGATAAACTTTGTTCTTTATACCATGTTATATCGACGCATAGTTTAAGATTGTGATTCACTAATCTTGATTTTACCCAAATCAACCAGTATCGCCTTTATAATTTTATTATTTTTATTTTTTAGCTTATTTTAACTATAATCATAGCCGTGGCTTCAGCAGCTCAATTACCATCTAGGCAGTATCTTCCACCAATTCAAGGTAGCGTAGATCAGTGATCAAATCTGTTTGAAGATGTTTTTTGGAACACGGGCAATAGGCGTCCTTAGCAAGTAGCCGAGAAATATGCCGTTATTCTGCAACAGAGTCAAGAAACAGACGAACGCGGTAAGAATTTTATTAGGTAACAATTGGACATATATAACAGTTTATAATTATAATTATTAAGTAACGCACTTATATCGTGATAGTGCTTTGCAGTTTTTCTGAAAGTATTTTAATCATTCTTATACTTGTTTATCTAAAAAGACTGATAATTATTGATGAAATATTGCATAAAGATTATGTTTGGCTCATAGGCACATACAACTTGTCCCGATTAGGCATCAAAATGCAGATGCGTTATCACTACTCAGGACTTAGAAATAATAACTCGTTACTAGTAAACATTTGGTCTCTGGTTCTCGACATTTACCATATGAAACACATCAGTATTATTTTGATATTTTACGCCAATATTCTGTGCTAAGGTACGAGTAGCTCTTTCCGGATCAAGCTGACTAATTAAGCTAGCTGATGAATTATGTAACATAATATGTAATCTGATATCTGATTAGCTATCAGCAACCAGATATTTTTGATTGCTGATTTTTATGTATGTATACCGATAAAGTATACATAACTTTTACACACATACTATAATAGGGATGCATCACAAATGGATCGGTCGACCGACGAAAGACCACGCTCTTATATATTACCAACATAAAATAGCAAATGAGGGCATCCACGACTTTTTCTGCCACCAGGGCGGCGCCACTAGAAAATGAGGTATAACATTTGACAGATTTCATAGCGGGGAAGTTAATTTGTTCGGAAAATGTAAAAGTTGTTGTTTCTTTCTGTAATATCAGCTATATTTTATATTAATAACATTAAAATAAATAAACCAAACTACAGATATGCATAAAAGTAGGAAAATTAAATAAAAAAGTTAAAAATGTGCAATAAATTAAAGAGCAAACCACTGACGCATTTTTTTGTGTATTGATATAATACTCTAGAAACTGATAAACTTTTATCAAACAAACAACTTCTCAATTAAACTACATTGTGTAACAAAAAAACTTTACCTCAGTATCAACTAGCGACATCTGGTGAGCAGAAAATTATTAACCCTCATTAATTCTCCTGTGTTTCCTATGGTGAGTTTAGGGAACCGGAGACCCTTTTTACTAGAAACTAGGCGTTCCATCTTGGTCCGCAGGGTAACAACACAGCTTTATTTTGAATTTTAATCGAGGATAAATTTAATGTCTATGGTTAATATTTTATAAACAATACACTAATTCGTCTAACAGGCTTCCGTTATTCCTACGAAACTTCTAACGCTATTCGTGCTGAAGAAGTCGGGGATGGCTCACAAAGACATGGCGGCTTCTCCTACACGGGCGATGACGGCAAACTTTACTCCATAACATACACAGCGGGAGTGGGTGGCTTCAGGCCACAAGGTGCTCATCTTCCAGTCGCACCTCCAATTCCTGAAGCCATTCTTTTGGCTTTGGAACAAAATACTAGAGATGAGGCTGCTGGAATCTTCGATGATGATAATTGATTTTGACTTTCCATAAAACAACAACTACTCTTTGTAAAAAATAATGATTAGTTGCTGTTCCATTTGCCATGGTTTTTACGATCGGAGTACCTAATGCTCACACCATTTGGTTTTTTTATAGGATAAGGGTGATAAACGAGCACACAGTCCACCTAATGGTTAGTGGTTGCTGTGGCCCATAGACATCTACATCTATCCTCGATTACGAATCAAAATGCAGATGCGTTGTCACCCCTTAGGTCCAAGATGGAATGCCTCGCTTCCAGTAAAAATGGTCTCAGGTTCTCTACACTCACCATACGAAACACAATAGCATTGAGCTGCTATTTTACGCTAGCATTTTATGCGAGCCTGGTCCTTCCCCGGTCGAGCCGACCCATTCGTGCTACAACTATACTACTACTATAGCTGCATCATGGATCTACCACGTAAATAGTAGTAACGGGGTAGTGGTGTGGTATACTCTATTGAGTAGAAGGTTAATTCAAATAAAATTTAATTCATTTAAATTCATTAAAAATTCTTGATAATTATATTTATTGACAACATTAAAACTGTCGCATCTCTATTATCCTTGTATAAATAATAGATTAGAAAAATTTAAAAAATTCTCTCAATAGTGATGACTTAGTTTTTATTTGTATGGTATATATTTTGTCGTATTGGTTTTTGGCTATAATATTTATTGTTATTTTTGTGAAATAGGAGTGACAAGCGAGCACCCAATCCACCTGATTCCGGAGTGTCGTTGATCATGATGCTGTTACCCTCGCACTAATAACCAGCTACAGTAACCAGTCTCTGGTGTTCAGGCACCAGCGTTTTAAGCTGAACGTACATTTGTCCGCGCCGTACGCGCCGTGCGCGCCGCACGCGCCGAATTTTAGAATTCGTTGTATGAAATCATATGAAACCTCACACATTACACCCGCACCGTATGCGCCGAATTTTATAAAATGCGGTAGGTATACGATATCGAAGGACAAATTCTGATGACGTCAGATAACACGGCGCGTTCGGCGCGTGCTGACTCACTGTAGTCTAATGTTGCCAACTTAGTGGATTTTCCACTATAACTGGTGATTTCGACTTACGTGATAATTTTTGTATTTTATAACTTTTAATTAATTCGTATTTAATTATACATAATTTGATTTTTTTGCATCGATTATCAATATGAATACTTAGTGATAAATTATTTAAATACTGAACTAAAAGAATGGTTAAATTTAATTCAAAAACCCAATTATACCTGATTACTTAATTATCAATAAAAATACTTACATCATACATACAACAAGTCTTTTCTCTGATTCAATTAGCCTTTTAAATCTTGAGTTTTCCATAGAAAGATATGGTTTTAGTAAATGTAACAATTTTTGAAGTTTCTTGTATGTTAAATGCAAATATCTAAAAAACGTTCATCATCATCTAATAAGTCTTTTACTAAATATTATGAATTTAAAGGCCTTTTTAAATTAATATTATGAATCCAAAATCTTCTTTTGCTTCGAATTTTATTTTATTCTTCCTCTGCCAATAAGCAGACTATTACTATATTTCTTTCCATAGTGATTTCGAGCGATCAATTTCACAGTGCCGTTTCCAACCAGTAGTTGGAAAAAACTACAAAAGTTGTTGGTAATACAAAAGATTTGCGTACGGTGCGGACGATGCGTACGGGCAAATGTGCGAGGCCATCAGTAAAACTAGGCGCGTACGGCGCGTACGATGCGGACGGTGCGGACAAATGTGCGTTCAGCTTTAGGATGGCTTGTACACTATCGGCGCAAGGGCCTACTTTTAAGTAAGCTGCCTGTACTACTGTATCTACATGGAACAACTCTCTACTACTGTTTTTTTGATATAATAAACTAATGTTGTTTGATTCTTTTTTGGGGTGAAACTTTTTACGGCAGGGCTTTGAAATTCTGATCCGCAACCTTTTTGTGTGACGAAAAAGTGGTGGAGGTAAACACTACGTACCTGGTCATTCCGGTCGATCATTCAATTCGCGAACGCAGGTCATTAATTACCATAAAGAATAATATATTAATAAAATTACCATTATAAGATTATTTAAGAGAGTTGGGTCTTTCGTTCATATAGTAATCTTATATTAATTTTATTTAAGACAGCCAAGGTATACGTATTTATTTTAGAAAGAGTGATTGCATTTGAGTTATAGCGCCATCTACTACATTCTATAGGTAAAGTCATTTTATCGAACAAAAATTTATTAACTCTCAATATGGTACGTAGAGCAGATGCTAGATGGCATAAACACAAAAAAATATTAATTGGTAAGTTTTGAAATTATGGATTATTATGAATGGATATGACAAACATGATAATATTTTTGTGTTTAAATCATCTAGCGTCTTTTCTACATTTTTATCAATTTTGGTACGATAAAATGACTTTACTTATAGAATGAAGTAGATGGCGCTATTAAAAAATGGACAAGGGAAGTAAATTGAAGCCTAATAAGGCAGAGCAGCGTTTATTTTAAATAACAATTTGTAAAATTTAATTTAAAAAAAAAAGGTTATTGTTGACTTTGACTGAAACTTTGGTTTAGTTAAAATAAAATTACATAAATAATAGATAATAATAGAAAAATATTATCACGAGCTTCAGCTCACACACCTACCTACTAAACAAGCAGGATTGCTGTGTGTGCATTCTTTTTCTCCTTATGCCCCACTGCTATTTTGGATTTCTAAGAGCCATTTAAAAAATCCAGGTTATACATTTTTTTTATTAATTCTAGGTCAGTATCATCCAGGTCATTATAAACCAGTTTACGGTAGTTCCAGCGCAGCGGCTTCTCATCAACATTAAAACCTGGAAGATTCAACGCTAACACTGGATACAGTTATTAACTCAGATAAGCCTGAAACTATTTTTACCCTAGAAAGTTGTGATTTTTTTATATATGTTTTAATGTAGCCCCAATATCTTAGGAAAAATATTGAAAAAAATAATTCTCCTCCAGAAACTATTCCATGTATGGGTCGGTCAACTTACTTACAAGCTTTGATTAATACATATAAGGAAACATAAATAAAACACGTTTTAGTGAAACAAGTATTATTTATTACCATAAGTCTGTGAAAACGTTACGTTGAATGGTAACTAAGAAAACATTCTTTAGGGTGTAAGTGTATGTTACATTTCACACAAATATAATTGCAGTTTTTTTTACATATTTTACATTTTAAAATTTTGCTTACATAGTTTACTAGGTGGCCCTGTTGATCGTATCTTGAATATTCAAGGTGTTTTTTGGTATAGGACAAGGTTCACGTTTTTCACACCTTTTCTAAGTTTCTAATAAGTCCCTAGTAACAGATCTGCGAAATCTGAGGTGATCAAGTTCTCCACCATCAATACGATACAATTACCATAAATTATTCAGTGCCATATCGATACTATTACAAAATAAAGGAAAGTACCATTTTTTGCCTCTGATGCAGGTTCTGTACAGGCCTACATTCTGAGGATTGTATATTTTGACAATGTACGGCTGGTCAACCTGTATATATTTTTTTAGAATTTGAAAAAAAAAAAAAAAAAAAGGTTTTGGCATGCTCTGATCACGAATCCGCGGTCCATTTTTGTGTAGAATGCACGGTTCCAGAGATGTGTAGATCAATTAGCTAATATCTAATTGATATCCGGTAAGGGCCTCCACCGTCATTAGCGTCCCATTGTTCCTATTTCTATTGTTCTATTGTTCATTAATCACCTTCATTGCAGCGTGTGCGTCGACTATATCAGTGCTATTGTTTATTATAATTCTTTGTTTATACAACGCTAATCTGAATCATCAATAAAACACATTACATAATTTTGTTACAATTTTTATTTATAAAATTCAAAATCTTATTAATTATTATCTATAAAATAGGAGCGAAATATCTCATCCACTAAAATATCGTTGTACAATGTGTTCCTTGTAAATATACTCGTAAAACTATGTATTGAACATCCTTGAAACTTATATAGTAAATACATTAAGCAATATTCGCCACAAACTGAAGTCCACTCATTCTGAATCCTATCAACATTCCAGTTCCATCTTTTACAATTCCTTTTTAAAAACTCTAGATGATATCGTACAGGTGATCATCCATATGAATCAAAATATTGACCGACGTCATTCGTATCGATATATAAAGCTACCCAATGTGACCCTGGTTTATCATCTGTATCCAAATTACATATTATATACGTTGGTACGTGGGTATACATAGGCAGTCTATTAGCTGCATAAACATTATTTTCTAGACTGGGGTGAATCTTTTTCAGATGTTGTTGTACATCTAGTGTATCCATGATATTACTGCTATTAGTAGATTATTACAGTACCTAGCTACTCAATGAATAACATAGGAATGGTCAATTATAGTGATTTCTACATATTAAATTGCATTTTTGTGATATACAAATCGTACTTGAGTCATTGATCACCAAACAAAACACAATACGAAGAAATGTTGAGATAGGCAACGGAAATGTGAGATAAACTGATATGTTTCTAAATATTAAATTGCATTTTTGTGTTATACAAATCGTACTTGAGTCATTGATCACCAAACAAAACACAATACGAAGAAATGTTGAGATAGGCAACGGAAATGTGAGATAAACTGGTTGACGCATAAAGTAATTATCAACTCATTACGGAAATACTTTAGATTAGAATTTTTACGTACTGGTGGTATATAAGACCAACAAACGCAGTCATCGAGTTAGTGTACGGTCGTTTGGCTACAGTGGATCTATCAATAGTACATTTGTGTTACTTCAATACACCAAAGGCTATGGATGTAAGTGTTTATTCTATTGACTAAATTACTTTTTTTCTGTTATTTTCATGTGTGTGTATTATTTTATTTAAATATTGTGTATGTATATGATTAAGCCGTGGTAACTCAGATGGTTAGCGCTAGCTGTAAATTTCACAGTACTCGACCCGGGTTCGATCCCCGCCA